TAGAGTACCTGTATAGCGAGAGTATGGACAGATGTGAAACTCCGAAAATCCATCAGGCCTTCACCGATGCTTCTGCGAATAAAGTTAGGGCCCAGAAATGCAGCCAACCTATGAATTTCAATTATCCAGAACGATTTACTAATACTATTGTTACGAACCGTCGTTAATTAAGCACGTGTTTGACTCAGTTTTTGCATAAATTTACTCAATTTCGCGGAAGAACGCTCATTCCTGTACATTCTTGGCCATCTTGGTTAGAATTGAAATCTGCGGACTGGCAGTGAAATTTTGTGTGTTAGAAGTTGGTTAGAAGGGTGGCTGCACTTTTGGGCCCTAAGCCCTCCATGAAGCGATCTGTCCATACTCTCGCTGTACAGGTACTCTAGCCGATAGGTCTCCCGCCTTCATTTCGTTTAACAAGCAACACATCATACACCACAGACTGGCAACATTGTATGAGTTTCAGCGCTCTCTGTCGGCTTCTGGCCGCAACCCCTCTTGGGTCACATTGCCACAATCGATTCGATATATCGCAGGGGAGTCTTGTGGAGGTAATGCCGTTGGAAGTAATGCAGTATTCCCATATTTCTCTCGATCCGCGCATAGCAATCGATTTATCGAAAATTCTGCGCGCGAAACAGATTTCGAGCGCCACACCGACAATAATTCGTCACCTTCCAGTATCACAAGCGCCATGCGACGTTTAAAAATTTCCGCCGCCGTTATATTTTTTTACAGAGAAATTGTACAACAAAGCTGTCCGAAAATTTCACTGAATTTTCTTTGTGCTGCCGATAAAATTAAGTGAAATTTCCAAACAGATTCAACCAACAATTTCTCAGTAAAGAAATAAAATGGCGGCGGAAATTTTTAAACGTCGCATGGCGCTTGTGATACTTTGCCTGGAAGGTGACGAATTGTTTTGACGCGATCGGCGAAGATATATCGAAGACACAACAAATTTGGTGAAGAATCTGGATAATCAGAGTTTTTCAAAGAAAAACGGCCTTCTTTTATTCCGCGCGCCGGAAAAAAGGTTTTGACTCGAACGGCGTTCCTTAGTAAACAGGGGGCCTCATGCCCCTTATGGCCATTTTGTCAGCATTCCTCATTGACGGAGGGCCTGTCGACGAGAGTAGTGCAGAGATCTTTCCCCCCACCCTGATGCAATGCCTCAACGCCGGCGCGTCACCCTCTGGATGGCTGGATGTGTAGCCCTGGCCAGCCTCTAACTGCACCACTGCAGCTACATATACGAACTGAGATGAGTGAGATGGCAATGTGTGGAATTTAGCAGTGTTGACGTGAAATCAGCTGGATCGGGCTTGTTGAACAGATTGCTTCGGGATCAAGTAATCGAATGTGTGTTTTTCTCACTGTTTTCAATCCATTTTAACCATTCTTATACACATTTACCATTTATCTCTTGTCAAGTGATTAATTTTAAATCTCAACCACCATGTTCGACGTGTTCGGCTCCGTGAAAGGGCTATTGAAAATAGACCAAGTATGCATCGACAACAACATATTCCGCTTACATTACAAAGCCACGGTAATTATTCTAATAGCGTTTTCGTTACTGGTTACCTCCCGACAATATATCGGTGATCCTATTGATTGCATCGTGGATGAAATTCCTTTGAGTGTTATGGATACGTACTGTTGGATCCATTCAACTTTTACTATTCCAAATAGGCTTGGTGGTCGCGTCGGGAAAGACGTATTGCAACCTGGAGTTGCCAGTCACGTGGAAGGCGAAGATGAAGTGAAATATCATCAATATTACCAATGGGTGTGCTTTGTGCTTTTCTTCCAAGCTATGCTTTTCTATGTACCGAGGTATTTATGGAAAACCTGGGAAGGTGGTCGGATCAAAATGCTTGTACTTGATCTCAACTGCCCTGTGGTGAGTGAGGACTGTAAAAATGAACGCAAGAAGTTATTAGTGGATTACTTCGCCACAAATCTACACACCCAAAACTTCTATGCCGTTCGATTTTTTATCTGTGAAGTGTTGAATTTCATCAACGTCATCGCTCAAATCTACTTCATGGATTACTTTTTGGATGGAGAATTTAGTTCGTACGGCTCTGATGTTCTGAAGTATACTGAAATGGAGCCTGATGACAAAGGTAATCCTATGAACAAAGTATTTCCTAAGCTAACCAAATGCACATTCCACAAGTATGGTCCTTCAGGTACTGTCCAGAAGTTCGATGGTTTATGTGTGCTTCCTTTAAATATAGTCAATGAGAAAATCTATGTTTTCCTATGGTTCTGGTTTATCATTCTAACAGTTCTAACTGGATTAGCTCTAATTTTCAGAGCCATAGTAATTCTCGGGCCTCAAACAAGGTTGTATTTACTGCGAGCACGATCTAGGCTTGCTCCCCAAGATCAAATTGAGACAATAGCAAGAAAATGTCAAATTGGAGACTGGTTTGTACTTTATCAATTAGGTAAAAATATTGATCCTCTCATTTACAAAGAATTAGTTGCTGATTTAGCTAAAAAACTGGAAGGCAAAGAAACAGTCTAAAGTTAATTCATAAGCCCCCGTAACATCATTCCAGTGCCTCCTATTGCCTATCTCGTTCCCTTCATTCTATTATTATTGTTGAAGACAATACTCGACCTGTAAGCATCAAGGAAAGGCTTTTGTTCAATGGTTGAACCACTCCAAATCAACTGAACTTATCCACTCTCTTTAAGCAGGGCCCTCTCAATACCATGAGTGTCTTATATTTTAGGTTAAATATTTCATGTATTCGGAGCATTGCATTACATATTGTAGAAGATCATCTCTCATCTATTGGTGTTAACAAGGTATTCACAAGTAACTTCTAGTGATTGCTTACTACAAATTGTTGCCTCCCTGTTTGATAGATTACTATTAATACTTACCTAGTGTCTGAATGGAAAGTACCTTGATTGTGATTTATTCTGATATTGTAAATTAGTCTGTGATACATCGCAGTAGATGCCTACGCTTCAGCAGCCGGTTGTATTTTAAATTTCTCGTAACCCAATGTGAGATTGTAGTTCTCAGTCGACCTGCACTCAAGGATGCCAGAAGTTCAGAAATGTCTGATTTTTGGGTTCCAAATCTCTGCTTCACCGCAGACTTGGTGCTTCGCCTCATTTGTGACAATTCAAAACCTGCTAATTTGTGCGACCACTCTCTTGAGGTTATGGTAACTTTTTATCCCTAAATCTGCCTCACGTTTCATAATTTGCCTCTCTTTTCCTGTCATCTGTAGATAGCAAGATCAGGCAATTTTGTGCTGATGCTTTTTAATTTTTGAATGTCACTTTCATAAGTAACTGCACATCTTTAATCTGGGTAAATTTTGATTCATGCTTTCATTGGCATTCATGGAAAGTGTTCTGAAGAAGAGAGTAGCTGAGGTTCTCATTCGTCAGCTCCTTTTGAAGCATAAGTTTGAACCTAAATTGTCTACTGCCACTACCCCCTTGATTGCCCATGACTGCTTGTAAATTAGGAAATACCTGACGGTTTTAGGATGTCATAGGCTCTTATGGGATTACTTACCTACAAAAGAAATTTTTGACTGCTCAAAATAAAATTATCAGGTGGTAGCATTTTAGAACTTTTTCAAAACATCAAGTCTGCAGGGCTTGAAAGAGACAAATATAGGCCGCTAGAAACACCTCTGAAGTAGATTGAGGGAGATAAAATTTAATCATTGAAACATATTGTCATAGGTATGTATGAAAGTAATGAAATAAGTATGAGTAGCCTCTCGTTACTGATAGCCTGATACCTTTCGTTTTATTTGTTTCTAACCATTTGCTATGTTTTGCTGTGCTAAGCTTTTCAATTTGCTGGATCATTATCAGGCACAAAACCAAAGCACTTAGAAATTAGAAAACATGCAAAGCAACAAAACTACATGATACAAAGCAATGTAATGGTTGAAAGGGGGTCATAGGGATTAAGTTTGGAGGGAAAGTTATATAAATCTTTTTTGAAAATTTTTTGGTCTGAAATTACTTTCTAACAAAACTACAATTTGTAAGCACCAGGTATGGCTGACTCTGAATCACATCTGAAAGAGAATCAGTTCTTTTTTCATGTCAACAGGATGGACTTGTGCAAAGGCACCATTCTTGAATGAATTTTCCATTTTCTGCCAGAAAAGCGCAGCGCAAGCACCATTTGACTCCTGAAGCTGTGTCATGGAAGCCATTAGATTCAGTTCATCACATTTTTCATGTAGGTCAGTGTAATTTAAGTAGGCAACACTCTTACACACCAGCTTAGCAAAAGCCAGGCATATGACTTATAAAGGGAAAATAGTTACTGCCGCGAGTGAATTGGCACCTCTGGTGCCCTCTATTATCTATCTTGACCTTGTTTCGTAACTCAGAGAGTGTGTGTAGATAAGTCCAGTAAACATGCATCTTTCAGCTTTCGTAAGACGTGAAGAATTTCCTTCAAATCCTCGGAGCTAGCGCAAGACATTTTTGCAGTCTTTAATGCCGAAGATTCTTAATTAATAGAATTAATTTTCCCCAGTACCTTTAGAATCTCTCCTGTCTGATGATATAGCATATGCAGTCATAACTGCAATTTCATTGTCGTAATTATTGTCAATCCTAATGACCACACAATGGAAGCAATCAAATGTGTGCAAGATCTGTTTCCTTTTAATCTCTTGAAGAAACTGGTCATCTTCTGTTCTTATGAATTATCTTTTACTCAGGATATATTCTATCAACATATGGATGTGCAGGACCCAGCTTGCTTGCTTTTGTCAAAGTTTAAAATGAGAGCCAACTTTTGAGCGCATGGGGTTTTTATGATTTTTTTCTTCGAGCTCCAATTTTCACTTGAGCGATATCTTCACCTATTTTAGTCCTTACAGCCTCCTTTTGATCCTCAAAGTAACATTATGTTCAGTATGTTCGTACCAGTAAGTTTATTCAATTAAGCATGAGATACACGACAAAACCTAGTCAGTCACAAATCATATGTTGATGAAAGTTAAAATCTCTAGCAAAGTTGTAGAACTTAAGATTTGCTCTGTAGCTAAGCATTTGATTTTAAGTAAAGTTCTATCAAAATCCAGCACATATTTATGCAGACCTCCCTTGTTACAAGTGTAAATTTAGATCAAAAGAATCATGAGCAGCCTCTATGTTGTGGTTTTTATGAGTTCCTGTTGTGATTTCCATGGGAACTCACAAATTGTCATTTTTCTATTTGCTTTTATGAAGCAATATTGCACAAAGGCTGTCCTAATATAACTAAGATTAGAACTGCAAGTTTTAAACTAAAGCAGTCAGAGAGCTGATTTCTCTTGCGTTTGATATAAAATCTTATTCTCCATTGATTAACACCAAGTTTATCTCCTTTGCTCATAAATTCGCGAAGATAAGTATGAAGGTTCAAAAAAAAAAAGTTTTGTCACCGCCACCGCTTCTATCATTAGTTTTTCTTCCTTAAGAAAGCTCTTCAAACACTATTTTCCCAAAATTTCCAGACTGCACAAACTTATCAACGTAAAATACGATTTGGCTACACTGTTTTGGCGTTGCCTGATTTCAGGCATAACCGTAGCTGTAAGATTTGAGATGTCTCACACCATGTTAAGACTTGCACAAAAAGTCAAGCCTATCGTATCTTCACAAGGGAGTGCTTCAGAGTTTCTGGTCGTCTGGAAAACCTGGAAAGATAGGGAATATGGCGACCTGAAGAAGTTAAGGAATTTTGTGAGCAATGTCAAACAGCATGGTGCATCGTTTGCGCAGTAATGGAGAAACTACAACTCCTGTGATATATGGTGACGAATCCTTTGATATGTGGAGTGTTGCGGTACATTGAGTGCTGTGATATACAGGATGGACCATAATTCAAGCGCCTTGTAACCAAGCTTACAACTTTATCTGGCCCAACCCAGCAGCAGGTACATCGCAGTGGTTGCCATATAATTTTTAGTTTCTCCGTTATTGTTCAATCGGTCCATAGAAACAGAAGTCCTCGTAAAATAAACAATCTCAGTGGAAGTTTGGTACGAGGGCCAGGGATAGTTAGGGCATTCGAAAATTTTGAAGTAAAGGAAAATAAAAAGAAGTTGGGAATTTGAATATGAGTTACTTGCGGAAACCCTGGGCTTGCAGTTTTTGTGTGATCAAGGCTCTTAACCCCAACTTGATTCTGTGATTTGGCAATGTGTCACATAACGTTCTTCCTTTTCAAGTTCTTTCTCCTGTTTCGTATCAAACTCTGAATCAAAGGGTATAAAGGACTGATCACACAAGAACCGCAAGGGCTCACCCGTGAAGATCTAACTGGCATATCTCCGCGCACCAGTCTCAAAATGTCGTGGGACTACTCAAATCTTATTTCTGTGAATATTGCTAAGTCGTATTTTACGTTGCCAAGTTTATTCCGTCAGTTATGTTTCAGAAAATTGAGAACTTGCGCACGTCGGAAGTTAACGATTTAAGCGATTCTTTCAGAGTAAATTGGGGAACCAGTGGCATCATCGTGTTTCGCTAGAAACACGATGATGCCACTGGTTTTCTCTGAAACGAAGGCCTAAGCTCAACAAAACACTCCAAATTGAGGCCGTAACGGAGGGCATCCGCCACGCACGTTGAGAGTCCACCACCATACCTTGTCAAACTCTCCATGCACAGTTTTAGGGATCAAAGACATCAGCAGGGATGCCACTTTGTTTGGGGACCCTAAAGCTGCTAGCATGGTAAACTTATCAGTGTAGGTATTCGCTCTTTATCTGTGCATGGAGAGTTAGACTGGATATAGATGCGGTCTCTTAACGTAGCGTGGGGGGGTCCCCTCCACTAAGGGCTTAACGTTGAGAGCTTTTTTGAGCTTCGAAGTTCGTTTCAGAGAAAACCAGTGGTATCATCTTGTTTCTCGCGAAATTTTACACTGCGATAAGTACTGAAATCGCTAATCCCTGACATATGTAAGAGCTCCCTGAGAGCTTTCTCTAGGAAGGAAGACTCCTGCCAAGAAAGGTACGGGATAACAAGGGGTCTCTCAGTAATCTGTATGCATATGTATACACGTCGCTTCATAGCACTCCTTGGCGTTCTATCGATAATAGAGGGCCAAGGATTCACCATCACCGTCCCCAACTGCACCACAACCCTTCGGGCATAGAACTCTTTAACACGTCTGCTTCATTCCCATCCCGCCGCCCTATCATTGGGCGCCCCCTGTGCTCACTTCCAAGAGGAATCCCATGTCGGCCCCTCTTCGGTAACCCATCTCCCGCCATTCTCCAGACGTGGCCATACCATTTACGTTTTCCTTCATATCGTGGGGGACACCTTTTGACGTATTTTAAATTTTCCCAAACTGCGGGAGGGGCGGGGGGTGCCCCTCCCGTAAATCGAACTTTTCAAATGGCACCCCCATATTTTTATTTCAGAAATCGATTCTACGCAAAAAAAAACAAGCCACCCTGTCCAAACCGGATGAAAGTCGGACCATTTTTCAGCGATTGGCAGAGGTTGAAACTTTTTTCTAATGCTCTTTTCAAAAAATCCCCACGCCGAATGGGATTGCCATGTCAAACCAAACTCTCCGACAAAAAAACTCTTTAGCAGTGCCCTTTCGATAAAAAAAGAAAAAATCTGCTGTAATCGAAAACTGGAGCACGCGGAGCCCTTTTCTTCGACATTAAGATGCGTTTTACCGAACATTTCCGAGGGGCGCTCATCGGGAGGGAGTTTGGACACGAATCAGTGTTCTTTTTTCTGAAGCATAAGAAACCAAATCCATGGAGAAACAGCTAAATAGAAAAATAAATGGATTACCTTCTTTCAGGTGGGTCTCAATGATTTGAGCCGGACCTTGATGTTTTTAAGAACGCTATTTTCCCGCGGTGCGTGGCAATTTTCTGGAGTTGGTTTTAAATGACCGTTGAAGAATAAACGGAAAGTTTAAACTTCTCCTCTTTGAAAATAAATGTTCTGGCGAGTAACAACTGATTTTAAACATTCATGAAAACATCAGGTGCGGCTCAAATCATTGACACTCACCTAAAAAAAGGTAATCAATTTATTTTTCTATTTAGCTGTTTCTCTATGGATTTGGTTTCTTATATTTCAGAAAAAAGAATACTGATTCGTGTCCAAAACTTAGTACTCCCTCCCGATGAGCGCCCCTCGGAAATGTTCGGTAAATCGCATCTTAATGTCGAAGAAAAGGGCTCCGCGTGCTCCAGTTTTCGAGTACAGTATATTTTTTTCTTTTTTATCGAAAGGGCACTGCTTAAGAGTTTTTTTGTCGGAGAGTTTGGTTTGATACGGCAATCCCATTCGGCGTGGGGATTTTTTGAAAAGAGCGTTCGAAAAATGTTTCAACCTCTGCCAATCGCTGAAAAATGGTCCGATTTTCATCCGGTTTGGACAGGGTGGCTTGTTCTTTTTGCGTAGAATCTATTTCTGAAATAAAAATGTGGGAGTGCCATTTGAAAAGTTCGATTTACGGGAGGGGCACCCCCGCCCCGCGCCCCTACCGCATTTCGGGAAAATTTAAAATACGTCGAGAGGTGTCCCCCACGATATAAACGAACACCTCTTTTACCGTTTTTCGAAATTCCAACCCGTTCGCCAGATATCCCAGGTGGCTCCTTTTTCGTGAGACACCCTGTAGGATGAAAATCTTTGACGCTTAGTCTGTTCTTAAGCAAACTCTAGGAGAATCAAAGAACACGATATTTATCGACTTTGCAGCGAATTTCGAAATTTTTTTGGAGTGACTTCGCAATAACCAAAAACTTCGGTCTTTAGTTTTCTTAGACTGTCTATTGTACCTAGATGATAATGGAGCAATAATTATTTTGTTGACGTCGTGTTTTATACCAGCTCATTTTCAGAGGCAAGAGAAGATCGCTTTAAACTTGATAATAGTATTACCTTTACCTTTGTTATACCTTCCTGATGCCTCTTAGGTAGTGCAAAACTCGTCATACACAACTTTTCCACATTATTTCCTTTTGATTTTTGAATAAGTCTGTTTTTTGGCTCACCCTAGGATTCCCCCCAATCTGAATTTTGAGGATTTCACAATACTGATTTCATTGGATTCCTCAAAGTTGCTGAGCCGATTCAGTTAGATGAAGTTTTCAATCCAGTTAATGAGAGCTTTTCCTGCAGAGGGGGGGGGGGGGGAGAGGACGATTGTTTTTTTTTAAACTATGAGGCATTGCTCACTTTAACGTCTTTTTTTCGGGGTTTACAAAAAATGCAGGTTTAATATTCATTCTATCATTATTATTATTATTATTGTTATTATTATTATTATTATTATTATTATTATTATTATTATTATTACTATTGATCCCGGACACTTCGTTATCGATAATTATCATTGCCTTGTCCTCACAGGAGATTCGCAGAGAATCCACAATAGTTCAAAATCGTCAAAATTCGAACGAATTTTCAACCTGAGAAGTGAGAAGTATTGAAAATGGCGGTTTAGACTGACGTTTTGAACGTGACTAGAGTCTTCAAAAAATGCGCAACTTGACAGAGTTAGGATTTCGTCTTCGAGGCGCCGCGCCGGAACGCTATCTAAAAGACGCCTTTATTTACTCAACGGTGAGGTTAAGGTTTGCACGAGAACTTCCAATAATTAATAAGTTCCAATAATTGAATTACTTACTTGCACGTTACTTATTGTTTGGTCGGCCGCGTCGCGGTCGCCTCGTGCGGCCATCTTCGGCGATTGAGCGCAGCCACCGAGGATGGTCGCACGAGGATAACGCGTCTAACCAAAGAATGAGTAACGTTCAAGTGAGTAATCCTCTTCTTGCGCCTAGGCCACTTCCAAAAATAGTCAATTTTTTATTCTGATGACCGATTTGTTCTTCCTGACTCACTAAAAGCTCCCCTTTCTCGTTTTCTGTGTGCTAGGGAATTTGTTGGTCGCGAGTTACGAGAACGAAAAGAAGCGAAGGTCGGGAAACTCGGCTATTAGAAACTGCTTGCGCGGCATTGATCAGTCGGAAAACGTCCCCTCCCTCTCAATTCTCGGAATCGCATACCTCGACCAGTCTCGCAGTGTTGTCGTGTGTCCTCCGGTCTCGAATAGCGTGTGTGCTGTACTACTAGTCCTCACACAATGAATTTTCATCTCAGCGCTGTTTTGAGATGTTCTCTGCGTATTTATTCTTCGGCACGAAAAATTGTCCAGAGCACGAATGCATCACGCCAGCCGATAACATACACGAGTACGCTCGGTTACGAGCTCCTGCACGAGCCGGGGTAGATATGACAACTCTGCGTAACGAGACAAGTCTGACTAGAGTACCTTTATGAAAGAAAAATTTCGTTCGTCAACCGCTAACGAAATCCGTAAACAGTTTACGAAATACGTCATCAAAACAAAGCTTTAAGGAAAGGAGTAGGTCCACTGGGCCTCATGGAGACTCCTAGGATTAAAAAAGAAACATGGCTGCGACCCCCAGGTGGGAGATGGTGGGGTGGGGGTGAGTGAGAAGAGGTTTTTTTCAACCTTTGATGTTTGTCACCTGCTCCACCTACTAGCAACCTTGTCATAGTAGAGACTTAAGTTAATAATACGTTTTCAAATGTACTGCACTGAATTGGATGCAATACTGAGTGAATACTTCTACCTCTGAGATTTGAATGATGATCACACAGACAAATAAAACCCAATATCTGTACTTTCGAACGGTTTGCATGTGACTTTGGCAATTTTTGGTATCGCAAGAGTCCCGTTAAGCATAAGATAACTTAGCGAATCACGAGTGGACTCTAGCCACTCTCTGGCTGTAAAGGTGTTCCATGTCTGGCGT